GAAAGGTGGTGGTGGCGGAAAGAGTTCGAGGAGAAAGAGTTCGACACTAAGCTCATAGATGTGGAATTGGAAGAGGAATTCAAAGCATACTTCTATACTTGGTGTCATCTATACGTTCTTTGGTTATATATATATATATATACTATAATATATATATATAGATATATATATATATATATATAATATATATATATATATTCTTACTTTCATATAATCATTGTTTTTTATTTACATATGTCGTTAAAGCATACACATGATGTATCTACTGGTGTTATTCATACATATACTTCGGTCAATAAATTTGACACTCAATAAATAACAACCGGAGTTTACCTCATTACTGTATCAAATTTCATCAACTAATTGTTATAATGCTGGAATGTAAATATGTACTTTGACCCAAAACCATAGCCACTTTTATGCTTTGAAATCCAGTAACTCTCAAAAGGTTATGAAAAGTCTATCAATGAGGGTAAAAACGCAAAATAACCTTCTAACCCCGCCCCCTTCCCCACTCTTTCCCCTTATTTACATAACAAAATGACTATAATACCCTTCCAACCAATTTATTTCACCCATTCTATTTCCATGAGAAGACACTCTTTATCAATAATAGCAACATACTTTATCTTTTACAAAATTCTCCAGAGTTAAACTCCTAGACACTTTTACAAAACTAATTCTAATTTATATTAATTAAAGTAACATACTCTACTAGATTGAAAATAATATAAAATAAATAAACATATTCTCTAAAATAACATTGTATATTGCTAAAATCTTCAAATTCTTCTTTTATTCACTTATTAAAGATACTCAATTTCTCACTTAGATTATTGATGCTTAGAACGAAACAGTATATATTTCAGTTTTGTTCTATATACCCTAAATTATGAATTTCATTTTTATGGTGGTGTAAATATTATGTTCAAATTGAATGATCACTAGTACACAAGTCATTTAATAGTGCGAGTGGTTTTTCTTTCTTGATGCGGTCCCTTCTAAAAACCGCCTTATTAAATATCTATATCATCAAAAAAATAAAAGAATCACACTATACAATAGCTTTGTTAGTTCGGTTTCCCAAAATCGCACCATTAAAGCATTTTCTGATGTGATTTCCGAAACCGCACCAAAAAAACATGTGGAAACCGCCCCAAAAACTAATTACAACCGCACCAAAAAAAATTCACACTAAAAGACATTAAACCGCACCAAAAAACAATTCGCACTAAAAAAATATTGAACCGCACCATTATCTTTCCTCTAAAAATTTCATTCGAAATTTTCATTTCGTGCTAGAACCCTCCAAATTTCGTTCAAAATTTTCATTCAATCTTTCCTATTTTATATAAAGTTGGATATGCAACATCTTCTCATAATTATAGATTTATCGATTCCATTCTTGAAAACGCATATGAGGTAGGGATGAAAGTGGGTCCAAACCCGGACCGGATGGACCCGGACCCGGAAAACCCGGAACCAGTTAACGGGATTTTATAGAACCGGAAACCGGACCGGTATATAGGAACCGGTTCCGATTCGGTTCCGGGTACGGTACCGGGTAAAGTGGGTCTAGAACCGGAAAAACCGGAAACATCAAAGTGGGTAGGTTGGAACCGGATAAAGTGGGTTTAGAATCGGAAAACCCGGAAAAACCGGAATTTTTTGGTAATTACTTACTACTTAGTGGGTTGAACTTTGCAAATTTTTATATTGATATCCTGACTTTGGGGGAATGTAACTCATTGAATATGAAACCAAAATTGACAAAATTATAGTCTAAAATCATGTACAAACTCTAATCTACACTCTGGAAAAAACCTCATGTCAATCCAACTTTAAACGAATGAGATATGCATGTGTTAACATTTTCACATAATACAAAGTACAAAAACAAATAGCGGAAAAGTTGAAAATTTTCAGTTTTGATATCCCGACTTCGGGGGACTGTAAACCATTGAATATTAAACCAAAAATGACAAAATTATAGTCTAAACTCATGTACAAACTCTAAACTACAAGTTGGAAAAAACCACATGTCGATCCGATTTCAAACGAATTAGATATGCATGTTTTAAAACTTTCATAGAATATAAAAAAACTAAAAACTTTCAGCTTTGATATCTCGACTTTGGGGGACTGGAACTCAATGAATATAAAACTAAAAATGTCAAATTTATAGTCTAAAATCATGTACAAACTCTAAAATATATGTTAGAAAAAACCGCATGTCAATCGGAGTTGAAACGAATGAGATATGCATCTTTTAAACTTTTCACAAAAACCGGTTCCGACCCTAAAAGTGGTTCCGGTTCCTAACACCGGTTCCGGTTTTTAGACCCGGTTTACCCGGACCCGATGGACCCAACACCGGATTACCCGGAACCCGTATAAAGCCAATTTTTAAACCCGAAACCGGAACCGGTTCTATATATTCCGGTTCTAACTGTTCCGGTTCCGGTGCGGTTTTCCGGTTCTAAATCTCATCGCTAATGTGAGGTATGTCAATTGTTTATCTTTTTTTTCATTAACGACATTTGTGCCTCCATTTTTCTCTTATTAATTGTAAATGAATGTTCTATTTTAAGTTTTAATGATGTTTTCTTGTTCTGAATCTCTGCAGATGCCTCTTCTTCCGTGATATATCTCCAAAAAAGGATCCAAAGACTTATGATGTTTGATTCAGTGACTTTCAATCAACGGGTATGGAGCTAGTTTTTGCAAAGTGAGTTTTAAGATGTTGAAAAAGAAATTGAAAACAACGTTGATGAAATGTGATTTCCCAAGAATAGATTTTTAATTGGTAGAGAAAAAGAAATTGCAGAGATTGAAACCACCCCTTTTGGAAAAAAAGAAATTACGATTAACCTTTAATTGAAAAACACTCACCGAACATTCCTAAATACAAGAAAATGAAGCTTCATAAGTAGCGTGGTGTGCATCATTGGTGAACCGCTTAATTGGTGCGGTTTTAGCTAGCTATTTTTTGAGGCGGTTTTGACTATTTTTGGTGCGATTTTGGCTATTTTTTGAGGCGGTTTTGGCTATTTTTTGGTGCGATTTTGGCTATTTTTTGAGGCAGTTTTGATTATTTTTTTGGTGCATGCGGTTTTGGAACCGCACCATTAAATATTGGTATTTTTTGATGCGATAATTTTTGGTGCGGTTCAATACCCACTTCAATTAATCATTTTAACCGCATCAACAAATGCTTTCTGTACTAGTGGACGAGGTAGTTGGTTATACATATTGATGTTACAGTTGGTGTTGCTTTCAATAAATATATGGATTTGGTTTTACTAAGATAATTGTTGTGGTTTTTGTACGTAAAAGAAAGAATATGAACAAAATTGTAGAAACAAACAAGTATTTTTTAGTTATAGTTGAAACTAAAGAACCATGAAGCAAAAATCCAAATCCAACCAATAAGTCTAGTTACGTCATTACATGAGTAGGTAGATGCTACTTATGGTTTACCAGAAAGCTTGTAACATTATAATCTATTATACGAAAAAGTAATTCGCTTTGGTACCCCAACTAAAAACCATTTCCATAAATGTGACTTCATGCCAATCTAAATCGAGTTTCGGCTTTTCTCCCTTAAATTCAAAAAACTCAACCCCTTTTCACATCTGGAGTCATCTTTCTCCTTATATCACCTTCATGCAACTCCCACTCTTCCGGCCCATCAAATCTCTAGATCATATCAAAGAAAATCATAAGCTTTTCATGTGAGGTGTGCAAATCTAAACTAATGTTTTTATTCATGAAAAGACCAGTTATTGACTCAATTGGGCTTTTTCATATAATAGGATAATGTGAAGGTTCCCACTTCAAATCCTTTTAAGATTGCGTCTAGGGTTTTTGAAAACTCAGTCCGAAGACCATCTGAGATGTTTTATGGTCAAAACTGAGATTTATTGAGACTGGTCATGAAGGACATGAAAAACTACCATTGAATTATATGAGAATACATCTTTAACAATTAACTTGCGAGACTCTACTTTGGGATAATATTTGAGAATTCGAATCAGTTCATCCACAGTGAAGGCGTCAATTCTTGTGGTTAGCACCAGAGTCTTCAGATTAGGTAGGGTCGGATCACCTGCAGCATTAATGCACTACGATACTGACAGAAAGTAAGGATTGGAGTACACTCAAATGATAAAAATTTGATGAAAACAAATGATACCTGCAAACATCTCCAAGTATCATATTTTTTCTATGAATTACTTGACAACCAATTTTGGAAAGAAAGAACATAGATTGAGAAATCTATACAGACTATCCATCTAGTAAAAATTGCTACATTTCAGCTTTTGGCAAGTTTTTAAGCTAAAACTACATATTTCAGCCCTTATTGAAGCTATAAACTTTGATCCAAAACATTTCATGCATTTCTCTATTAAGTCGTTCTTTTTGCCTTAAGTTAAAAAGAAACATCCATGTAGTTTATTTACCATATTACACCATGTTCTCCTTAAGTAGAAAAGAAACAGCATTTAAGAAGTTAATGTTCTAATCTTCATTTAATAGACTCTTCTTCACATCTTAACTTACATAGATTGGATGCATTATGCATGAGGGTCAAGCATAACAATTTGTGCCACATGGAACTTCTGCATTTTGAATTTTTGACATCAATGTCCTTAAGTTTTGGGTCAACTCTTTCATTATAAAAAAGGTGCTGAACACCCTTGCAAAAATTTCATAGCAAACTTCTTTTTATCAGGAATGAAGAATTTTGCATAAAGTACATAAGCATGTACCTGACTAAAGAAGTAAAGGTCGATCAACAAGTGTTCCACATGAGAAATTCCAGGAAATAACACAGATTTGATGTTCCTCGTCAATTTAGGCTCAATCTCAGCTTTACTTAAGGAGTCAAGACATTTAAAGAAAAAATTATTTGCTATAAGACCTCTTAACTCCAAATCCACCAGTTTTGGGCAGGAAATCTTAACTCCACCACTCTGGCCATCATCCATAAGTTCCATGTTAACAATCCTAAGCCTTGGATGTGAAATACAAAGAAGATCAAGTTTGCATAGCACGCAGTGTAACAAACTCAGATACTAAAGCAAAGGGCAGCTTTCCAGAAAACCTTTTACCACATTGCCGTCTCCCAAGTGAACATCGGTCAAACAAAGAACCCTAAGCCCCGGAAACCCCATAATATTAGGCAACTTTAGACCACGATAATTCAAATCCAACATTAATACCTCCAAGGAACAGCAAGTCACAAGACAATGGGGAATCTCGACATCCTCGTTCTCCTACTCAGGGCAAAACGTCAATTGAGGCTGTTTGACGTTTCTTGTAACAGCCATGTGTAACAGCCATGTGAATCCACCGTTGACATAATTTAGTGATCAAAACAACTTAAACTAAAATAATACAAATCGACGGATCTGTTTGCTAAAACCCAAAACACAGTCTTTGAATTCGTCTTTTTTGAATTTGTCATCTCCTTAAAATATGTCTAGGGAGGGAATTGAAGTCCACAAATACTTCCATTGTCTGGACAAAATGTTTGTTCGAATTACTTCTTCTGTGAATGAAAGACGTGAAAGAATCAAGCAAAGAATAGAATCCGGCATGTTACTGATGAAATCGACCACATCTTCACGTTTTGATGCCTTTGGTTGCTCAGATTTCTTCATGCCCTTTTGGTGATGTGAATCAAAATTTATTTAGAGAGGCAAACGGATCTCAAATCACACACAACTCGGTTTCTAGTGATTTCTCTTTTTGGTCGCTAGTATATTCTACATTTATCGCGCCAAAGTTTAAAAGGTTACCCAAGATTTTCACCCCTTCTATATATAATTTCATACAAATTTATGCAACCATTTATCATTCTTTTATTAAATTTTGTATTTTAACTTTATATATTACTAATGTTTTATATTGAGAAAATAAATTCGTTTATTACCTATATATACCATTAAATATTATATTTAACGGTATAAATATAGTTAATGAACAAGGTATTATCTCAGTAGAGCATTTAATATGTGGGTTACCAGATTGGAGTTGTCTTAGTCCGACTGTAAAAGTCTATTATTATAAAGGTGCACGAAATACATCGTTCATAATCTGAAACATGTTTGAAACCAAACCGCCTATTTTGCTAGTGAACCGGTTTTCAAATCTACAAAAAACCGATTTTCACACTTTATGTTAAAAAGATATTTTTTTCATCTATTATTTATTCAATTTGTTTTATACAAGGTTTTATAGGTAACCCAAAGAATAATTTTCTAAAATTCAAAAAATTGAAAATGCTGGATGCCTGAAAAATAATTTTCTAAAATTCAAATCACCGTTTTTAACCCGGTGAATTTCTTTTAAGCATACTGTGTTAAACACATCCCTCAATGTTTTTTGTTTCTTGTTTGATTTTATGCATTTCTGTAATACAATTCCTACAGGTACAACACCTCATTCCAAGCCGGCCTCAAAATTATTAAAGATCATCACTAGCCCAATAGAGCCAATATTATTATCTAGAAGAAGTTAGCTTGTTCTAGAATGCTCTAGAAGATTTTAGAACATTATGGAAGACTATGGAAAACTCCAAAAGATACCGGAAGAGTCTAGAATACTCTAGAACGACATGGAAGACCCTGGAAGGTTATGGATCATTCTAGAAGATATTGGAGCATCCTAGACCTCTCCAGAAAATGGTAGAACATTCTAGAAAGATATGGAAGCTTATAGAGTATGTTAGATAGTTCTAGATTTATCTACTAAGTAGTAAGTGTATTATAGTATCTACAATCTTCCTAAGAGGCCTATAAATAGGTGTGGAGCTCATTTGCTCCAAACCATCCAAGAAAAGCCTCAAAAGAAAGCAAAGTGTAGTAGTCTCTGAAATTGTAAATTCTACTTAAGTGTCTTAATAAAAGTATTGTTGTTTCCCACACAAAGAGTCGTGTTCAACAATCTGGTATCAGAGCCTGGTTTATTGATAGTGAGAACGAGTGATTCTCTTCGTATCGTGAGTAGTTTGTGACTCTGCAAGTTTGATGTCGAAACTAGCTTGTATGGTATTATCGAGGTACGACCAACACGATGTATTTAAAATCATTTTTCAATAAAAATAGCTCCTTAAAAATAAAAAAAGGAAAAAACTATGTTTTTTCATGTATTAAGGTAATGATTAGCATAGTTTAAGAAAACATGTTTTGTTTTGAAAATATATGTGTATTCCTTTCCCATTTATGCCGGTACGTTGGAGGCTTTTGCGACAAAAATAAATGATCGGCTGAGAATGATTTCCGCGTTCTCAACATTTTTTTATTTTCTCAATTGAACTTACCTCTCTCTCTCTCTCTCTCTCTATATAGATATATATATATATATATATATATATATATATATATATAATAATATATATAGTGTGAGGTTCAATAGAGAGCCATAATTAACCAAAGAACTAAGGAACCAATCTTTTTTTCAACATTTAGAGCTTGTTTTTTTATAAATAAAAAAAAACTAAAAATATAGAAATTCATAACTTTTTATCATTTTTCCAATGATATCAAATTCGATAAAAAAATCGTCAAATTCATATTGTGAATCTCAATTCATACGGTGAACTCGAAAAATATATAATTTATTTTTTAGCATTCACAATGTGAAGTTATTAATTTAGAAATTTTTATTTTTTTTCGATAAACAATAAGCTCTAAAACTTGAAAAAAAAATCGATCCCATGGAGAATCAATAATTATGGTTCTCTATTGAACTTTTTTTTTTTCTCTCTCTCTCTCTATATATATATATATATATATATATATATATATATATATATATATATATATATATATAGAGAGAGAGAGAGAGAGAGAGAGAGAGGTGGGATCAGTGGCGAATGTTCACCACTAAAGGAGCGAACCAGCGGACTGTTCGATTATTGTTCTAACTGTACCAAATTTATATCATTGTGTAACAGGACTTCAGCCTCTGCAGTCGACGCAGGCAATGCCAATACTTCGAAGCGATTTAACGTAAGCAAGATTGAAAACTTATTAATGTGAAGTAAACTTAAAAAAAAAATCTTAGGCAATTGACTGATGCATTACTTTTTTTTTCCTATTTGTTTCACAGAAAGTTAATTACTAGATCAATGTTCGATTATACAGATTGAAAATTTATTAATTTGAAGCAAACTTTAAAAATTATCTTATGCATATAATTAACGCATTGCCTTTTTTCTTATTTGTTTCACAGAAACATGACGGAACTTTTGATACACAAACAAGTCACTTAGAAGTTGCCAAACTAATCACCAATAAACACTTAACAATATGAACATGTCACAAGATAAAAAAAAATAATCATTCCCTTACCCCGATCGACAATTATATGTTTCTCCTAGAAGATGAAAAACATGAATGAAGAAAAAGTTGAAAATTTACGGGAAATATGTGAAGATGAACCTTTAAAAATAAAAGATATGTTAATTTTTAAGTGTTTTCTTTGTTTTTGGAGAGCTTATTATATCAAGAATGGGAGAGAATCTCATGTTTCGGTAGGAAGGGTAATATTGGAATACAAATCTAGCATGTTGTCATGCATACAGAAAGTAAACAGATTAACATGGAGGTAGAGTTCTATCTAACCAAATGCATAAAACAAGTAATATATTATATACCTTCAATTTTGTGTCATATAACATCTTAATGGTAACTACGAAGTCAGGTGAAGGAATTGTCACATCTGTTTGTGTTTACGTAACCTCTTGAAAAGAAATGAGCATAAAGAAGAAACAAAACATTCTCGCTTTTTTAAATAATAAAATATATAAATAATATATAAAGGACCTGCATCAGAAGGAGTCGACCATCTAATTCAAATTGAAGAAAGAAACTAAACAAATCTAATATTGTCGACTCCTTTAACTCAACCGCATCATAATGAAACTACTTTGCAAGTTTACATAACAAATTAATCGTAATCCATTTATATTTTACAATATTAAAAATCAATATATGATAAAAGGACGAATATACATCAAACTAGAATCATATGGTTTACCACACAGGTGGTGCCACCAGATGTCCGTTTGGCTTGTTTTTTAGAAGCAAGTTTTTTTTTTTTAAAACCCGGAGTCAATTCCAGTTTCATCCGAATTCTTCTTTTTCCATATCAACCCTAAAGTCAACTTGGCTCCAGTAACTTTGACCTATTTTTATTAGAGCTGTTATTTTTTGGCTTCTTAGATGATGATCAGATTTGGTCTACAAATTGTATTGGAAGGTTTTTTTTATCCAAATACCCATTATCCAATTATCCATAACTCAACCATTTTGAGAAAGGCTATTGTAAGGGGTAAAATTGTAAAATACCAAAGTTCATGAATCGGAGGCAATAGCTTAGTTGGATCTTTGCAACTCCATTCAGATAAATTGTTCTTGGGTTTCAGGTATCATTCTCCACCAACATGGTATGGTCTAAAGCTTTCATCTTCATGTCCAAAAATAATACCTTGTGCCAACAGTGAGAATTATGCATCAAAGATAACATCCTCTGTGATTACAACACCAAATCTGAATACAATGCCAACATCAATATGAGAGAACATTTATGATTACAAAAAAAACATGTTTTCTTATGTTCTAAATGCAGAGAGTACATCAACGAGCAAAAAAATCGATTTCTATTGAATAAAAATCAGTTGAAAATGCAAAAAGGAAACTGGTAAATTAAAATTTGATGTATCCGAGACAAAAAGGAATTGTCAAGGTAAATCGAGACAAAACACATTTCCTCAACCTGCAGAAAATGAGAAAATAAATCTAATGAGAAACACGACTCCTTTTGACAATCATCAAAAGCATGATTGATTCCATTTTGCTTTATTTTTATTATCACCCCACTGTATTTCATCAGGGCAGCTGCACCAACAAAGAAACCAGAAAGTCGTGCATATAAATCTTTACGTTCTTTGAATATTACGACTACTATTGTTGGCATCCATTTTTCCTTC